ATAACGTGAAGAAAAAGTGATGGCAAGTCCACTCCACAGGAATCAGTCAACTTGCTCGAGCATTAACTCCTCACCCTTAAGACTACTCCATACCGACCACTCCGCGGCAAATTACGGTGGTGAAAACAGGAGGAGTCTATGGAGCCATGTAAGGGGGGTGAGGGACAAAACAGATGTGCTCAGAAACACACGATTCCACCTTGATCTCAGAGTAATAATAATGATGAAACCTGAATGAACCCAGTTACTGCCGCTGATGAGGTCAGAATGAATATGGTTCTGTTCACGTGGGATAAGAATAATGATGAGAGAAGCAGAAACGCTAAATACATCACAAGCACCTAAGATGCATACCATCAGCAGACCTACCGAACTCCTAGAGCCAATATAGTGCCAGTAGATCACAGAATGGATTTACTGGGCACATTTATCGACCACCCTCACATACAGTGGGACACGAACAAAAACAGCATGGCACCATCACAGAAAAGGGCACAGTGGTTATGATCAAATCATTATAGGGGGGACGTTAATGTCGTGCCACTTAACCTGGGGCTTGCGTATGCTCAGGGGTATTCGAATAGAAGGGCCAGGTTCACCGGGAACTCAGGAGACAACACTTGGTGCACCACTAGTGGAAAATATTCAGAGCTGGATTACATCTAAAGTAATGACTAGTTACTGGTAGAAGACTTTCAGATAACGGACCTTCCAGGCAGGAGCGACTATGCCGTCGTAGCATCCAGTTTAGTTCTTTTCGAACGCTTACAGTGGGTTGCTGCGAGATTATATCGCTGTACAGCGGAGATGACTGCACCAAAATGGGAAAGAGTTTGTTCGGCTCAACATGATCCACAGACTGGGCTGAACATTGCGAAATGGTAAGATGGCTAGTTCACATTAAAATCCAGGAGAAATTTCCCATGGTCAAAGGGAAGTACTCAGCTCTCTCAACAAGACAAACGAAAGGCCTAGTATAGACTGACCATGAAGCATACTAAACACTCAGGAACGATGAAAAGTAGGGGTAAAAATCTACAGGAGGTTATTCCGGGCAAATCTCGCCGACAAACCCTTGGCAAACTCCAAGAGCGTACAACGATTTACACCGGAAAGAAACCCTGCCGAAGGGGCATCCACCTTGAAAAGTTCGAAAGGTCAATATCTGCCTGATATGATAAATGGCTAAACTATTCTGTTCGTTTTTTGACAGACAACTTAACAGGCTCCTGTGTATTACTACTATAGACCGAAAACAACACTCTGTTGAATCATTAAACAAAAACCTGACGGTACAACTTTCACTAACAATACATTGGTTCTAGCAGAACTACTAAAACTCTGTAGGGGATCAAAGCTGTGCGTCAACTCATTTGAACATTGTCAGTTTCACTATCAACGGTCAATTTGTTTATCCGCGCGCGCTGAAAGAAATGGTGTTCAAGGGAAAGGATCTAAGGAGCTTCGTTGTGGTGTGATTATCTAGTTGTTCACTCTCCGCAAATCATCGCGATTAAATACATCTTTCAGCAGCCGGAAGTGTTATGTTCTCCTTTCGCTAGCTGGGATGGTGTTAAGAGCAGCCTAACCACCAGTTCAAGTGAGCCAGGCTAAAGAGTTGACACGTAGTTTGGCTTGAAACCCAGGTCTATCTGGATTGGTAGGAGCACATCGATCGTAGGCTTTTTACCTAGGTGTGGCAACTAGAAACAAGTTCAAAATAATCCAGGTAATCTGGCCAACTGGCTCCATAGAAATATACCAAGGAAACCAACACATTGCGATGGCATTAGACTGCCTACACTAGAGCAGTGAGCAGCAGCTCTCTATAGGCTTTTAAATGACTGGTTCCACCACCAAAAACGTCTCAGAGAAACCGATAAAGGAGGAGAAAAGAGCTACCCTCTCCTAATTTAAAGGGTGGTGATCGGCAAAACACAGTGAACTGCGGACCAGCAGCACTAGTTCCGGTTGGAAAGCAAACCATATCAGTCAATTTCATGATGGGAATAATGCACTACTTAAAGCACATGATGGTTCCAGAAGGGATAAGTGCCGGTAAACAAAGCTTCTGTTAGCATGGACGACTGGGCTTCATACTGGGGTACGTTCCAGTTCATGTCAATTTGTGTGATTCTCAAAAGGCATCAAATACTATTCAGCATGACGTTTTTCTTCACAAAGTAGACCGGTAAGGCTTGAAGGAACACTTAGAGGAAAGGGAAAGTCAATAGTGTTCAATCATCTTGGCATAGCTTAGCATTCGAGATCGTATAGGGTTCTAGGGTCCCCGTGGCGCATGGTATTTTTGATTTTTATTAATCACCTTAAATGTCTTTCGAAGTGCCCAGTTCAACCTGACGTTTATGATGTGAAGATATGGAGTATTACATATGTCTTGAAGATTGGGACAGATCGAAGGCAGACCGAGACTGACTGAGTGACCGATATTCGCCCCCGAAATTTGCATAGCATTGCGACAGATAAGGCCGCCACACTCCACGTAGTACTAAAAATTAGAGAGAAAAAAGAAAGTAGAAATTCAAAAGAACTATTATGAGCAGGATATATGGGTGAACGCAGAGTATTGTGGAAAAAAGGAAGGTTTAATGGATCTAACAGATTACAAAGATTGAATGTATTTCCAATCTTTAAAAGTCTGTGAAAAATGTGATTCATTGCCTCTGAGTTGCAGCAATTTCACTATCCTTCAATTACTGAAAACGGAATGTAGTTCAAAGAATAGCATTAAAGGAGGCTATGATCCTTTGGAAATAAGCACATCATGAAAGACTGTGGAAGTTGTCTTTTCATGCTTGCAACAGGCAGTTTGTGTTTGATATACTTGCTGGGGGAGGATTTTAAATAACCAGAATCACTCAAAAGCAGTTGCCATGCCAATTAGTCATACATACCTAATTTTACCTCCTTTTCACGACGAATCGTACATAAGATTACAAAGACTCCAGTGATGCTCTATTTATTTCCTCTGGGAGCTCTCTGCTGCTGAAACTCTTGTAAGAGTTAGACTTAGTATTACTTCGACCTAACAATAACCGCTCTTACAAAACTTCCTCACCACTTATGACCTTAATAGTACTCTGCCTAACGTGCAAGTACTAACAAACGGAATCAAAGTTAAAAGACTTGAGATGGCAAGTGTAACTGGAACAGAACTGTATTTACAAAAAGAGATATAGAATTTGATAAGAAATAAAAGGTACACACTTATCTGGAGGTGGGACGGTGGTCAGCTCGGAGAGTGTACTAGGTGAAAGTACAGCGAGAGAGCGAAACCGAAACCGTACAGGAGGTTCAGGAATACAAAGTGGAAGTCGGGTTAAAGGACAGGCTGCGTTCATTCAAACAAAAGTTCAAAGGTACAATGTACACTACAATCTTTTTCAACTGCTATGGCTACTGCATATTTGGCAAAGGTCTTTAGGCGGGGCCTAGATTAAAATGCATCAACTCAAGTACTGTGTTCAAATGGACCTTACCCTTAAAATTACTGAAATTTAACCCATACATACCGCAATCGATTCATGGGTCTTAACTAAATTCGTAATTTAAAACAAGCAATAAAGGTTGATAAGGCAGGATTTAATGAATTCATCAAATTTCGGTAGAACTCGTCAGCTGAATACTCTACATACACGGATATATACTTTTGAAGTTACATTGGGAGATATAGGACTGAATACTTTACATACACGGATATATATAGTTTTGAAATTACATTGGGGGATATAGGACTGATAAGTAAATAAACTACATTGAATTAGTCATGCAGAAAGACAGGTGCGAATGTTTTTCCAGGTCATGTGCAATTAGATAAGGGGAGAGAGGGTATGGAAGATGAAAATTAAGATAAATTGCATTACGCTTCAATTACATCGCTTAGATAAACAATTAGACATTAGAGAATTTAACAAGAATTGCAACCAGAGGGATGTCAATAGTAATAGTTATAATAACAATAATATAGTATAACAATAATAATAATAGTGTTGAAGTGGGTTAAGATAATGCTACTGATAAAGGATAGTTTTAAATGAATCCAGAATAATAATAATGAGAATAATAATAGTAATAGTAAAATAATAATAAGAGGTAGAATTATAAGTAAACCATATTACCATGGTAGATTCAGAGTCACGAACATCTCCTTTTGTACACAGAGACCTGGTTTGTAAACTCGAATCGCACAAGCCTCTGCAATTGCAAGCATCTTCTTGTTTCTTTGTCTGCTGACAATGGTGAATGACTTGACTGCGTCGATATCATGCCCGTAATCCACAAGATGCTTTGTTATTGAGGATTTTGGCACTTTGAACTCAGCTGTTTTCAACCATTTTGGCAAATGCTCCACCATGCGAGTAGACAATCTCCTTTCCGTTCGACCTATGTATTTGCTTCCACAAACACACTCAAGTTGATATACGCAGTTTGAAGTGTCGAGGATTGGCGACTGGTCTTTCCCAGATTGTTGAAGCACTCGCTTAGTGGTGTTAAGGAAAACAAGTTTTGCAGCATAATAAGTCCTCTTGATGGCTTTGTCGAGTCTTCGTTTGACTACTTCCTGTACATCATCTCCTTTGAACGGCAAGTTGAATTCGTAATTGATATTCGCTCAGTGTTCTTTGTCTCATTAATGTGATTATTCTACCTTTTCATTCATCCACTTTTTCATGACTATAATTATCTATTTGTTCTTCAGTGTAGATTCACGTATTTTCCACTAATTATATTATTACTGCTAATATTATCAATGTTTCACTTTGCTACCACGCTAAACGACTAACGCGAAATCGCTACTGTCATAACGTAACACATACTACAAATCAGAAACAACCAACTTCCATTCTACTTGCCACGGGGTCGAATAAAGCTACGGTAGCTGACTAACTACAAGAAAGTCCACAAAAATCTAGGAACCTTACCCTCGCAACCCCGAAGGTTGCTCGAATGAATGAACATTGAGTACCAAACCTACGTCTGCCACCTATTTGAACGTTGCGTTACTCTTAGCCAAACATGTAAAGAGTTCGATATATTTAGAACTGGAATATAGTTTGACCTGGATCTAAAAAAATTATAGGTGATTGATGACAGATAATTTTAACATTTTCATATCTATTCAAATTTGTTGTTATCGTGTGTCTTCATATGCTTTTTCTTGGTAAATATCATGAAGAACAACTTTAGTGGAGGAAAAGCAACAGTATGAGCACATATCCAGTGTTAAACGTTCATGGCCTGTGCCTCCTAGTATTTACTTTGCTAATTTATATAAGTCAGTAGTGTGCTATATACCACAATACTAGTACTGTTCCAGAAAATTTTGGTCATTATGGGAAATACTAATATTCTTCAAAATAATTAGGTTAACCTGCCCTTAAATTTCACCGGAATTTTTATTTTGGAGCCTTACTGTATTGCGAACTCTCATCAGCATATATGCTCTGAATAATATTGTGGTCATTATTTTTTTTCGTAACTAATACAGTCCAAACCGTGAACAACTCAACGTATTTTTTCACCTAGTCCCATTTTTCTGGTTGTTTATTCCCTTTAGTTTTTCGAATATAAAGGATAACTAAGATGGAAACAAATTAGTAAAAATTCCTTGAATGCCTTTCTGGCTTTTGTTCCTACTTGTTAATATGGAGTTTAGGTGTATGGCGTGTATTTGAGTTGTTTTAAATATCACATCTCTTAAGTAGAGATATTATTTTTACTAAATTTTGGGACTCAACTTTCTGCAAGTCAGTATTCAGTTTTTAGTATATCTTTTAATGATTAGGTTTGGCTACTGTGAACAGATTCAGATTATAAGGATAGAAGGCTCTTCTTGTCTATGTTAATCCTTGCGATATATATCTCTGCAGAGATCTAGTTTCTCTTTGAAAGCGTTCACCGATGAATCTGTTACTACTGAATCAGGTATAGAGAGAGAATCTAAATTCCACGCGTATTTTGTTCGACCTCGGTTTGAACACCTTGTGGTTACTTCGTAAATGTATTCTAGAGGAAGAAGAAAGGTTTGAAAGGCCAATCCCTTATTCATCCTTTAATATACGGTATGCCAAAAAGTCGCCTCTCCTTCGGTTTGATAATGGGAAGATTTAAGTGCTCTTATAAGGAAGGCATTAGATACCACTAACTAATTTGGTTCCTACCCTCTGTAGTCTTTCCCGGATGTCTCCTTTTTGAAGCATGAACTCATCGCTTGTATGCAGTACCCTAGATGAGGTCTGACATATTGCATAGAGTACTTGGGACATACCCTCGTCTAATCGTTTGAAAGCCCTTCGAAGTGCCCAAATCATTCGAAAAGCCTTAGATGCAGCTCCATTACAATTTGCCGTTGTTTTTAAGTCATGCCTTACAATAATTCCTAGGTCCTTTTGTCCCTTAACTTCTGGCAGTTCTGTGTCCTCCAGAGAGTACGACAGTTCCAAATAAGATGCATTCAACTAATAATTACATATAACATATTGTCCAGCCATAATTCACTATTTTAGTGCATCAATCATCTGTCATTCTCTCTACACTTTAACTTTTCGCAACTCAATCGATTAATTAAACTTAGTTTCCAATACTTAATGCAAAACTGATGCCAATAAGGTGCAGCATATATAGTACAGGAATTTGGATTATTTACAAATAAGACACCTTTTGGGTGACTCATCGTTCCCAAGAATTCATAAAAATGTTTAGAATTAGGTGTAGAACCTTTCGGTTTCAAGAATCTTTGTGATAGTCAAACAAACCTGTTTTCCAGTGTAATACGGTGCTGCTATTTATTGTGGTTTGACTGAATATCTCACGCGATTATTATTGCTGACATATGTCATCTTTGGATTGAAGCTACTCTTAGGTTTGAAATAATCCTAAAGACCTTCAACAATAGCTTCAATCTTAGTCATAACAATGGTGTTTTAGCGAAACAAAAAAGGCAGTGTGGCTTCATCAGTTTGAAGCCTTATGCATCCGAATGCCATGAAACTTGTTCTCGTATGGTAGCTGTCAGACAGATTAATACGTAGCTTTTTACAAATGTTTATCAGTTTAGGTTCCCGTACTTCAAAGCATAGCGCTAGAACAGTCAAATAAAAGTAGACGGATATCAAAATAAACTAAGATTCGAAAACAGTGAAAAAAATGCGCAAACAATTTTAACATTATCATGCACCATTAATTTTAGTGAGGTTATTTGGTTTGTACCTGTCAATAAAATGTAATGACAGTCTTCTAAGTCTGTGTGTTCACATTTACCGTTTCAAGCCCTGAACAGTTTTTAATTTCTTGAAAATACGTTTGTTTCTTGAGAAAAGAAAGCGGAGATTGTTCCGCGATCTAAACGCAGTTAATCCCCATCCAAACAGTAGATACAGCATATTTCGTGTTTTTTCATGTATGTAATGGCATTGATTCAATTCATCTACTTTTTGCCCTAAATCAACTTTTCAGGTTGCTGGACTACCTGTGCCTATGTGTGAAACAGAAAAACCGAGTGATGATATTGTTAAACAAGAAGAAAATTTACTTGATACTTATGTCGGTAATATCACCTCTCTGCATTCTGTTATAGAATTAATTATTCATCAGCGGGAACTTCGTACTGGTAAATTAACTACTTTTGTTTGTTTTCTTATGATGTTATCTTTACTGTCAAGTAAATCGCAAATTTAATTTATGTAGGGAATAAAGTCGTATTTGACATTTAATACGATAGCGTTATGGAAATACGGTATCACAGCGATGATTATAAAAGGCCAGTGGCTATGTAAAGATAAATATGCGAAAGCGTATTACTTCTAACGTATGCTGTGGTTCTGCTGAATATGGACCTAAACGTACATATATATATATATATATATATATATATATATATATATAATTTGACTTAGTTTAAGAATCACACAGAAGCATAATATGCATATATTTTTCGGGTTTAACCTGAGCAATGAATTCATTTGATCTACCATCTTTATACTACTTAGCAGTTTAGAGAATGGTTGTTATTTAGAAGTACTGTGATGAGACTTATATACTTCTTCCTTCCACTTCTCGACATTTCCCATGATCTTCATTATTTTTGTTTTATTCTTTTATGTCCCGAGTGGAACATAGGACTTCTAGCTTTAAGACTTAAAATTTTAAGAAACAGTGGTGTTTATTCTTTACGGGTTGAGTTGTCAAGTCTCACGTCCCACCTACCTTCTTTATCGGAATTGCTACCAGCTAAGTGAGGTTCGGGAGTGCTTCAGCCATGGATCGAACTCCGAACGAAATGCGTGGCTAGCGAGTATTCTACCACTGAGTCAGACACTTGGCTCGTACATCACGGAAAGCATTTGCAACAGGTTGCAGAGTTTTATCAATAGCTGCCACCTTCGCTTACTCGATACTAAAGGTCAAATGGCTTGCCAGAAAAAATAGGCAACAGGAAACTCTAGCTGGGGACAAATCAACAGGCGAGAGCCGATTGCTCAACAAATAATAAGGAGAAAATCGAGATGGATAGGGTATACGTTAAGGAAGCCTTCGAATGACATGGCGCGCCAGGCCATCGCTCGAATGGAATCAAAATGGGAAGTGACGAGTGGGTCGTTAATGTAAGTGAGGGTGACAAGGAGGAGATCGTGTGGCGACGAGATGAGAGATAATGGGAAATCGTGGGCCCAGACGAAGAGGACGGCAGAAAATAGAACAGAGTAGAAGTGTGTCTTTGAAGTCCTAATTTACACTTTGAACCCGAGGGAATAATAATAATGTATAAACAAACTACAAGCTAATTATGTATCTGAAATCGGTGGTTTATTACGGTAATTTTGTATCATGGTAGGCATGTTTTCACCAGTTTATCTATAGTGTGTAATAATAAGGTTATTTGGTAGTTGGTGACTAGCAGTATAATCCAGCATGCACATTTCATCTTACTTGAGATTCGCACCTGGATAATAATAATAACTGATACCCGCTGCACAGGTGGCCTAGTGGATAATAATTTGGCGTTTGTAACGATGGCTGCTAAGATGGCGTCTCAGTGGGAACACCACTACTCACTAAGAATGCAGGCACATCTAGATGATGAGTCTCAAACAGGATGAAATTCTCATCCTAAACACCACTGCTAGTCACCATTCACTAAATCACTTGAATTTACACCTTAGGCATCGTCGAAGCGTCTGTACTAGGAGCTGACATGTTAACAGAGGCCAAACTTTTCGGTCTTCTATAATCAGACGGTGGAAAATACAAAATTAAATTCAACGAATAAAGTTAAATTTTCTCTTTTCTGTGCGTAAAGATCTACTTCATTGGGTTTGCTTCGACTTTGCTTTCCAAATGACTGGCTCCAAAGTAATCAAATGAATTATATACTACATTAGGGTATGGTTTATAATTGAAAGTAAAAGAGACGAAAAGCGAGATAGGATAACGCGGCATTGTCATTATTCTCTTGACCTATATATATATATATATATATATATATATATATATGGGCGATTAACTGTTCTCTTACCTGACTTGCTGAACTCCACTGGTTACGAATGTTCATTGGATTGGGTCGCAGCGTTCGAATGGTCTATGAGCTCTCCTTATGACCGGAAGGTGTTGGTTTCGAACCCCAGCGGGTGCGTACTTGTAAAGAGCTTCAAACTTGGAAGAAACACCTGTCCAGTACTCCCAGGTCTTCTGTTGGTTCTCTAAATGATTTTTTTTTGATTACAGCTTGATGCTACACCGTATTTTCAGTATAAGTATGGAATTTTCAGCATGGATATCGGTAGCCCAAATTTTGCAGGCCGACCATAGATATCGGGTGTGCGTCGGCAGGGAATCGAACCCTGGACCATGTGCATGGTCGGCGAGAGTCCTAACCACTGTGCCACCGACGCATGTCAACGATGTCAACTCGTTATCCAACCTATAACCAATTAAATCCATGCAAATTAATGCTTGATAACTATTAATAATAATATTATTATTGTATTTAAAAATAATTATGTTTCTATACATTTTTTCATTGCATTTATTAGAATGTATCATACAGCATGGTTTTGATGATTCCATTGTAAAGACAAATAACACTTTCTGGTCTGATTTATTCAATCAGGCATTTTTATCATCATATCTAGTAGATTCAGTTGATGGACCAGGCGATGATCTTTTATTCTTTGTTCAACATCAGAAACAAAATGAAAAGAAGGTAAATAACTGGATTGACTTGTTTTTCGTTTTGTTTTTATTTTACTATTGTTATCGTGTAATACATTCTCATTTGAATATAATCAGTACACAATATGCAGCATCCATACTGTTTGGCGTATAAGTCAGAGTTGTGATTTTTTTCAGCTTGCATACTAAGATTTAGCTTAACGCGTCGGACCGACTTTTTTAAAAAAGTACGTGGGTGTTAATTATTTTAAGTCAATAATGTTATAGATTTATGATGCATAGGTGAAGCATACTCGACTTTGTACTAATTTTTGTGGAAAAACAATAGAATGATAACCAGGTGTGTTTATCACTTGAGAATAATATCATTATGATAAAGCATGGTAGACAGTGAAGACTCATATTCAACTTTTTTTCGAATATTATTTCAACCAAACATAACTACTGGTGTGTATATATACTACTGATTGATCGATATGAGTAGTTGGGTACCATTCACGTCAAAAATAGTACTTTCTGCTAGCCAAGTCGAAGTGATTTAAACACTGGTTGGTCGTTTGATTCAGTGTTTCACCAGTTGACCCAAGTAGCTAGCCAGAATTAGGGTGTGGTTTAAATTCAGTTAAACCGGGGTAACTGGGTCGCGTCCCAGTGGCTTAATGGTCTACGAGCTAGCTCGCTTTGTAACCAGAAGGTCCTGGGTTCGAACCCCGATGGGTGCGTACTGATGAAGAGTTCCAAACTAGGATGAAACAGCTGTCCAGTACTCCCTGTGACTGGTTTCCAATGGTTCTCTAACCAATGTCAGCTCATGATGAAATCCTGTAACCAAACGGGGTAACCGACTGGTGATCTATGACTCAATTGAGTGCAACGGCCGTCCGATGTTTAGATCACCTCATAGTGGCTGACTAGCAAATCCTACTGGTTGACCTGTGTAAGTGGTATCCAATTACTCATCTCAAATAATCCTTGGTATATTATTATTATTGTTTCCTTGGGTTCCTCGTGGAACATAGGGCTTCAACTGCACGTCTCCACTTGCTTCTGTCTTCTGCTGTACTTTTCACTTGCATCCATGTTAGTCCATACTGTTTCACTTCCTCTTCACACGATCTCCTCCATGTCACCCTTGGACGTCCCACTCGCCGCTTCCCTTTCGGGTTCCACTCGAGCAATGGCCTGACGCGTGATGTCACCCAACGGCCTCCTCAGCGAGTGTCCAATCCATCTCCACTTTCTCCTGCATATTTGTTGAGCGATTGGTTCTTGTTTTGTTTCTTCCCATAGTTTCTTGTTGGTGATTCTTTCTTGTCATCTGATCTTGAGTATAGAGCGAAGACAGTTGTTGATAAAGGTCTGCAACAGGCTGTTGGAAATATTCTTTGTGACCCGCCAAGTTTCTGATCTCAACTAATCCTTGGTATATAATTTGATTCAATCAAAAGTCTATTGGATTCATGTGTGTGTGGGTGTGTGTAAATTATACTGTCCCCTCAAATGATTATTAATTTATGCAGTCATTCAACTTCTCTATTCTTAATATTTTAAAAAAAAAGATAAATGGTTTTCTCCTTTTTCATTTTTATAATACATGGAAATTGGAATTCAGCCAGAGTTGAGTGTATTTCGTAAGAATAGTCCAAATCTTCCGAAAGGGATAGACGGTAATATCGATTGGGAGGAGACAGTTTATCTCAATCTATTGATGCAATATGTAAGTTAATTTTCTTTTGTCATTTTCTTTTAACGGATTGGTCGATTGATGTGTATCACGCAAATCGGTTTTTTTTTTGTTATCTTTACTTTTAGACTTCATGTGATAATATATAGTCATAAATAAGTATCACTGTATAGATATTATAGACTGTTTGATACTAATGGGTTATGTATATTGATGTGTTGGTGATTCAATAATAATAATAATAATAATAATAATCTACTTTGCCAAACAGTCAATTTCACCTTTAGGCATAAATCCGACCTAAACAAACTGGTTGGCTCTCACGAGGTATGCAACATAGACGGCACTGAAATAGAAACCGAATCGGAAATTAAATACCTAGGCATCATTCTACCTGCTGATCTCTCCTGGTTGTCTCATATCCTAGCAATTTCTAAGAAAATATTCAGTCTTACCTTCTACATTAAGAAGTTAAAACATTCTGGTATAACCCAACCCTTACTCCTACAATTCGTTAATTCTCGCATTCTGCCTATTATTCTCTATTGTTCCCCCTTAGTTTTTCCCGGGCTACTGAAGAAAGACTATAACATATTACGCAGGATGTTAAAGATTGTCAGCAGGGTAAGCAACTTGCCACTTAACCAGCTTGTTAATATTCTGGTCGACAGGCACATGGACTCATGTGAAAAATGGGCCAAATCCATTTTATCTAACTCACACCACCCTCTTCACTCACAACTCTCCCCTTGCATCTCACCAGGCAAAACCAGAAGCCTATATAGAAAACTATATGATCGCACCAGCAGGTACAAAAACTCAACCATACCCTACTTAGCTCGTGTTCTGTGTGATAAAGAAAGCATTAGGCGTGACACCTATAATTCGTTAAATAGTTAGTAGTACAACTGGATCTCGTCTTTCTAACTCACATCATTTATAGGTACATTTTTTTTCTTTCTTTTCCTTTTCTCTCTCTTTTTTTCCGTTATGTGCTGCTTTGTTTCTTTCTCTCGCTTACGCCAGTAAATATGACAGCTCCCACTTTTCTAACACCTTCAAACACTGTTCAACTTTGGCTTTGCTACCGACATGCCAATGTGTTGTTGTAATAATGAACTGTGTTTTCCTTAATCTATGTGGAATTCTATTTATTGATAATGTACTAACTGGATGCAATACTGTAGTAAAAATGCTGAGAATTCCATTCTGTATCACAAGTACTGTTTTGGAATAAAGCAAATTATTATTATTATTATTATTACTTATAATATAGAATGGAATTATCAGCATTTGTCACAATATTACATCTGATTTACTCAAAATATAAGTAAAATTAAAACAAAATTAGCCACAAGAATTTCTCCACATTTGTGATATAAAGTCAACAATACTCGAAGTACAAAATGAGAATAATAAATATAATAATAATAACAATGAGTTTGTTTCAAACAGTATTGTCGATTCAGTTTGGAAATTTTAGCATGTTATAGATTATTGAATCTAATGTTCTTTTGATATAGTATGGTGAGGGGAAATACAAAGTTAACAGTTGTAACACAGCATAATTGATGTTCACACTTATGAAAAAATAAACAAGTAAAAACAAAAAATTGAGAGGATTGTAAATATAAGAAGTACAATAACAATAAAGGTTAATGTTGTAAGGGTGGAGAAAATGGTTTATTTAGTAGTGCAAAGAAGGTTAGTTAGTTCATGCCTAACAGTACTTTCATCACATAAAGTACCTGCCAAATATGGTATAGTGGAATTTTTATACTTGAACGTACGTGCATAAAGTCTTCTGAAAAGACTTGTTGTTTTACCTGAGGCGACACAAGGTTGGAGCTGCGGGTAACTAAAGTGGATGCTCATAGTCTGACAAAATTCCTTTAGCAAATTTGCTGCATGACATCAAGTGCCTATCACTGACAATGTCAAGGATATGGGATACCACTTGCCCTGCTGACAGTCTTCAGAGTTCTACGAAGTATGACATAGTCTTTTTTTTAAGCAATCCAGGAAGGAATAAGGGTGAACAGTAAAGAAGAATAGGTAAGATGCACGAGTTGACAAACTGTAAGAGGAGTGGTTGGGTTATGCCTGAGTGCCTCAACTTCTTAATGTAAAAAGTCAGACGAAATATTCTTTTAGAAATCGCTAAGAAATGGGAGGACCAGGATAGGTCAGAAGAGAGAATTAATCCAAGATACTTAACTTCAGACTTGGTTTCTATATCAGTATCATCAATTTTGCAACGGTCATAGAAACCAACAGCTTCATTTAACTTTCTTTTACATCGGAAACTGAAATTAACAGTCTGACATTTGAAAGGATTTAGTTTAAGACCATTAGACGTAGACCATTTGCTAATTCCTGATAGAAAGTTGTTTATCTTAGAGCAGTCAAGCTGAGAGTTAACAGACATTGAAATAGTTAGATCATCGGCATACTTAACAAAGTTCATTTCATCGGAGTGAGGCAAGTCATGCAAGAAGAAAGAAAACAGAAAAGGAGAAAGGATAGCGCCTTCAGGGACACCAGCCTCAGTAAGCAATGAAGTGGACGACTTCCTCTGACATACAGTGTACTGCTTTCTTCATGAGAAATAAGAATGCAGCCATTTGACAACCCAGAAGTCAGTTTGAGTTTCAGCAAGCTTGTTTAACAAAATGTCCCTAGGTACTGAGTCGAAAGCAGATGTGTAGTCTAGAAAGGTGCAGCGAACAAATTTAGCCCCCTTGTCTAAACTAGAGACAATGTTATAATGCAAGACTGCAGCTGCATCTAAAGTACTTCTACTGTGTTTATAGGCAAATTGTTTGGGATCATTAAAGGCTTTAAGTGAAGGTTCAAGATTAAGTAAGAGTAACTTTTCTATAGTTTTTAGAGAATGAGAGGTAATAACAATAGGTCTAAATTTAAAACATGTTCCAGGAGATGACTTGGGTATAGGTACAATTTTAATGTCCTTCCAAACGGCTGGCATGTCATTTCTGGGAAAAGATTCATTAAATATGTCGATGAGAGGATAACACAGAATATCTGCACATTTTTTAAGAATAACACTAGGCAAGCCATCTGGACCTTAGCTACAAGAAGGGTTCATCGACTGAAGATATTTTAAAACGTCATTTGTATTGAAACCAAGGGAGCAGGTTTCATTAACACTTGTAACACTAGAAAGTTTGGCATTTGCGGGAGAATCTATGAAAGACTTCTTTAGTGTACACACATCAAAGGAATAAGGAATAGTATTCATCTGCTTACCACCAGTAATGGCAGAGTACCCGCCAACTACGAACTTGGTTTGAGTTGGATTCCCGGTTGACACACTCCTAAACCTCGCCTTCTTCAAGAGGGAAGGTTAGGTGCAAGGCAACAATCTCACTCCTTAAAAAAACGTCACCCCCACCATTGAAACCTCAAAGCTTTAGTGCCTTATGTTGCATTCAGAGTGGTAGTTTAATGGGAGAATGTTCACCAGCCACATGCAAAGTTTGGGTTCAATTCCCCGCCGACACAGTCATCATAAACCTCACCCAGTTTGGCGGCGGTTAATGGGTCTGGAAAAGAGAGAAAGTTGGGAGTGAGACTTGAAAACCTCATCCCGTAAAACCAATGCGACCGGTAGTGAAACTCCCAAGTTTCAAGCCCTATGTTCCGCTCAGAGTTCAAGGAATGAGAAGAAAAGAAATACTAATTATCTAGATACTTACGTCATAATTTTGTCTTCCTGTGCATTCTAAGTGGAACATAGGGGCTTCAAGCTTTGAGCTTTGAAACTCCAGTAGCAGTGGTGTTATTCTTTCTTCTGCGAGTTGGAGTTGCTAGCCACACGCCCAATCCCCCTCTTTCTTGGGCATACTATCGGTTAAGCGACGTTGAGGAGTGCATCGGCCGAGGATCGAACCCCTGACTACCTCAGGTGTGGTTGGCGAGCATTCCATCTCTGAACCATTGACGTTACATCTTAATTAATGGACATTAGACCAATAATAATACTAGTCTGAGTGCATTTTAAACTCAAACTTTACCAATTGAGAGGAAAATATTCCAACCGAAAAGCATTAACTCATTTGCGTAAATTTGTTTTATCTGTTGAAATTCAGCAGTGGATATAACATCAGTGAATCGCCGTAGACTGAAAGTAAAATATATTTTAAGAAAGCAACTTATATTTCAGTGTAGAATTCGTCAAAATACCGACATCAGTTAAAGTGTAATTGGAAACCAAGAAGCACTGGATGGCATTGTTTACCGGTGGTGCTATATTATGAATTGACAGAAGTTTGAATTGGTGCGACGTTCAATTCTAATGCGGCAGCTGAGAATAGTCTGCGGGCTATCCTCGTAACGTGAAGACTATGTATTCGACCCCTGGTGGATGAGCACTACTGAAGAATTTCAAACTGGGACGAAACAGAAAGTCAGTGCTTTCTAGTTTTCAATGGTTTTCGATATGATATTGGTTCGTAGCGAAGTATACACTGAAATGGATTTTGAATCCCTCTACATATCCGAAATTTGGCGTTCCTATTCATCTGTTAATCTAGAGTTTACTTGATTATTGATTATTGTATTGTCTTTGAGCAATAACAGTTAAAATGAGCTGGATTCAATACACACTAGGAATATAACTGGGTGTCAGATGTTCATCTTCTTAAGTCTCATTCATAAAGAACAGTTGGCTGTGGGTTTTAAATATAAAATATTTCATCTTCAAGGGAATTCTTCTAGTTATTCTTAAGTATATATGTAGAGGCATAAAACTACCTACTACTTATTATTGATTGAGATGAATAGTTGTATTGAATTAGTTATGTTCTCTGGGCTGGTTGATTCAATTGCGAAGCTTTCGTCCTCCTTCTAGACTACATCGCTTCAGTGCAGGTTTCTGTGTAAAATGGACTTATTTAAATTCTCCATAAATGATGTAATTGTATCTCCTGACAACCATTGCCGTGATTGGTAGTTGATTTACATCTCTATTGATCATTTTTATTGACTTGAAATTCGAAATTTCTTGTCATGTGATTTACTTTTTATTAGTTGGGTCTATAGTAATAATGTGTTTGTTAATCGCTGGCTGATTCACTTGAGTACCAGGCTTCTAGGAATTCCCTGACACTTTTGGTGTTTTCTGTGTTTAAATTTTCTGCATTGTCCCAATTAAATTGGTGTCCATAATTATCTACATGCATTGGTATGCAAGACTATGTATATCATGTCTTTTTACAGCCAATTTGTGTTCTTGGATTCGGATTCGAAGGGGACGCCCACTTTGACTGATGTAATGTTTATAAATGGTATTAATTTTACCTTCTTTTCCTGTTGGATCTTTTGGTTTGCACAATATCGAATGAAGTGATTGTACTGGCTGACTGGCTGGTGTGCTATATCTGTTTCAAAGAGTCTTAATATTCTAGTTGTTATTTCAGAGATATTTTTTATTTATGATACGATGAACTTTCTTGTGGTCTTTGACTTTGGCTTGTTGTTGGTGTTATGACTCGAGTTCAAATACTTTTCAGTGAAATTGTGAAGATATCCATTCTTTTTGAAGGTCGTTAGTAGGTATTTTTCCTCCATTCTGTTCGACACTGGAGCGCTACAGTGTGTTTGAACTCTTTTAAACAATGTCTGCACACAGTTTGTTTTGTGGGTAATTGGGTTATTACTATTATAGTTGAGTATTTGATTTCTGTGTGTGCACTGATTTCCTATATACTTGTGTTTCTAAATTTCCTGTGCTAGTTCTCTTGATTAAAATATCTAAGAGTGCAGTTTAGCTGTCTAATTCTTCTTCTCTTGTGAATTTAATGTCTTCAAATAAGTTGTTTATTAATTTTATACTAAAACGTGCGGTGAAGCGATGTTGTCTAGAAGGACGACGAAAGCTTCACAACTGATTCAGTATCATCCACCTAAGCTACAAAGCTTCTCCATTATTTGAATAGTTGTACAATAGTACTCATATAAACCAATGGGGTTTTCTATCCAGATTGAGGCGATCTAAACACCGGATGGCCATCTCTCCTGTTTGTGATCGAGCTCATCAGCGGTGTAGCTTGTTTTACTCAGCTCAGAGAGTTGAATCAGTTCTAACTATTCGATTTCTGGCCAGTTAGATCACATCCTGTGACATGAATAATTCGCTACCTAATTTGCAAATTATGAGTTTGATTTAGATGTAGATGACTGACTTTATTGTTTAACTGTCAAGCACGTGGTCTGGGGTTCGAATCCTATTTCATCTGGATTAACCTAGGCGTTTAGATAATATTATCAGCTCTCAAACAATAATAAACATTGTTAATAGCTTACTACATGAAAAATACGTTCTAACAGAATTCTTGAGCATGAGCTTCCAGTTTTAAAAAGTAGTGAAACTAAAAGCAGCCAACCCTGTTAGGTTGTTGATGTGTTGTTTGAAACAAATTTCAAGTTAAAGTTTTATCAGTGAGTCAGACGTACACAAGAATGGTAAAGTATTCCTATCGAATAGCCAACATTCTGATTATGTAATTTTCCTATTGTGAGAGAGAAAACTGAACTATACACAGTTCACTTAACTCTTCTGGCCTCCATCATCAGAATTAAGATATCAAACTCAATTGACGAAACTATATAATCGATAATTCTCTCCTACAGGGTGTGAGTGACGGGTTTCAGACAAGTGTTCTTTGGAATTTGCTGTTTTTACGAGTTGATCATGAATTGATATCATTTAGAGAACCATTCAAAACCAGGGAGTACTGGACACCTGTTTCATCCATAATTTGGGAATCATTGGCAGTAAGCACCCACTGGGATTAGAACCTAGGACCTTCCGGTTACAAGGCAAGCTCGGTGGTTTTCAATGGCTCGCTAACTGATATCAATCCGTGATCAACTCGTAAAAGCAAATCTAATCCTTACAAACCAACTACTGAAAATTAATCTGATGCTCGCTAGTGACTTGCTACAGGATGGAGTTTCCTGCAGTCTTAGTGAGAAGTTGTGAGCAGTGAGGTCCATCCAGTCAAGTGCTAGGATGGATTTCTCACTGATGAAATTGGTTGTTAGTTGCTCTAAATCACGAATTGGTAGAAGTTAGAATTCATGGACTGGCCACTGAATTGGGTTCCAGGGGCTGAATGGTTCACGAGCTTGTCTTGTAACCAGAAGGTCCTGGGTTCGAACCCCAGTGGGTGCGTACTGCCAATGATTCGCAAACTAGGATGAAACAGGTGTCCAGTACTCACTGGTTTTCAGTGGTTCTCTAACTGATATCAATCTGGTCTATATATATTGTCTTTAAAATCCTTCTCCAATCATGCGAGTCATGAATAGACATTAAAACAAAATGATAAAAAATTGCATGAACTATGATCAAAATTTGACCACACAATTATTAGTCTACTTTTTGTTATTCACAGTAAACGATGTGTACTTTTGCATCACACTGTAGTGATCATGTTCGACTGAAGTTCATGGTCATGCATAACTGAATATGAAAAATATGTGTATCCAATATACAATGGTGTGTGTGTGTGTATGCACGCATTGGAGAACAATTGTAAATCATTTGTTAACCTTTTCATAAGAAGATAAAAACAATCGGAAAAATAGATTAAGCATGATAAATCAGTGATACATATCCGTTCTTCTTTATTAATCAGGACTTGCTATGCATCAGCTAACATCGTACCAACACGTCTGCTCAAGCTTCTGGGGTTCATTCATATATGTAGGGCTTCTGTAGTCAGTCTTTCTTTATACGAACCAAAACCTTTCTGTAGAACCTTGGTCCTATCAAAGTCGAACTTGTGTCCCGCTTTTATCGAGTGAAGTGCAATCACCGATCTGTTTTCTAGCTTCTTCAAGTTTGTAGAGGTCTTTGGAACCACCTTCAAACATTGTTTATGCCCCTTCATTCTTATATTTACCTGTCTGAAAGTTCCTCCTACATATACAACATCATAATCCCCACAATTTATTTGCTACACGCAATTTTGTTGGTTACCTTCTTCTATATTATCCTTAACCTTCACCAGTGATGAGCGTAAGGTGTTCGTTGCACGAAATTACACTCTTATGTCATGATTGTTAAGGATTCTCTTGATTTCATCTGATGTTCCTTTGTGGTAAGGAATTACCTCACTACTAACCCAATTCTTAGCAGCATGCGTATCTTTGCTTTTTAAATATCTTTTGATAAAGGTTTTCCGGTAATTATTTGATTCCATAGTAGACTAAAACAATTTTAATTCCCTGTTGGGTCTCTTCTACCTCACTAACTAGACACTTGGCTCTGTTAATCAGACTCTTAGCCACGCTTACTGTGGTGGTAAAGGGATCTGCCGAACTGTAATCCAGGTATCTGTACATTGTACGTTTGTTTTTTAATTTTGATCAATTTCACTGAAGAAGTTCGGACCAGTTTGCCGAACGAAATGTGTTGGAATTATTTATTTCAATTTCGGTTAGATTTTACAAATATAAGTTTAATCTTTATCTACTTCTCACTCGTCACCTAATTATTGTGGATCTGTTCGGTCAAATTTTGGTCGTAGTTCATATACATTCAACTAATAGTGTTCATTTTCTAAACTCTTGTTTTAATACTGGTAAAGAATTCCTAATTGCTTAAAAATAAGTCATGTTCAGCCTTGGTTTTCTTTTTTTCTTCCTCTAAAATATCTATCCTACTGATACTTTTCAGTTTGTCTATATTTTGACGGTTGCTGTGTGTACACGTACTGGACCACAAGAATGGCAAATTCTGAAGAAATTTACTCAGGTTAGTTTTTCTCTATCTTATTTATGTCTAATTTTTTCCATTGTTAGTGTCAATTTTGAGTTCACCATCAGTTCACTTTTTTACGAGTTGAGCAAATGACTGAAGTAGAATAAAAAAGTGGTAGTCATTTTTCCCTTTAGTCTGTTTAATGTAATCTTAGTAGAAGGTGTAATTGATTGCCTTTCAACCCATGGATTCCTCGTTTTCGAATCATGTTCCACCTAATTAAACGTGAATGTTATCGTCAATCCTTATGCAATAAGTGTGGTTGATATTCTGGTACACTTAAAGATCATCTGTCCTAGGTAACTGATTTCAAAATACAATGATTTGTAGCATTGGATATGAATCATTCCTAAATATGGTTACAGGATTTCATCATGAGCTGACATCGGTTAGAGAACCATTGGAAAACCTGCACGGAGTACTGGACAGCTGTTTCGTCCCAGTTCTGGGACTCTTCATCAGTACGTACGCACCGGCGTTCGGACCGAGGACCATTAATCCACTGGGACCCGATCCAATGGCCAGCCCATGAATTCCAAATTCTACCAATTCACGACAGCGCGACCGCTAGCCACTATCTTCGGCGAGTATTTGTCCTCACACCCTACCTGCTGCACCCTACTGGTCACGACTTCCCCTACCTGAATAGGGCCAGTCGCTGGTGAGCATCTCATTGATATTCAAGTATTGGTTTGTAGGGATTTGATTGATTGGTTGCAGTATGCTGAAGAGTCCCAAAATCTAGGATGAAACAGCTGTCCAGTACACCCTGCAGGTTTCCCAATGGTTCTCTAACCGATGTCAGCTCATGATGAAATCCTGTAACCAATCAATCAAATCCCTACAAACCAATATGACATCATTCTGGAGTTCAAGGTAATTCAGAACAAGAAATGCCTTTGAACAGTGTTCTCTTCCCCCCAAACTTTTATAATCGTTCTTTTTTGATAAAAGGATTAAAAGCATGAATGGGTAAATGAGAAGTGATCAATAGTGTATTTAGTTATACATGTATGAATAGTTTGGTGAATATGTACTCACATGATTAAGATGTGTCTAATTTTTACCTAAGCATTCAAATGTCAAGTAATTTCATGTTATCAGAATCAGATACCTATTCATTTACTTTCGTTTTGACATCATTGCATGAATTTTGGTTCTCGCAACAAGCTTTTTCTGTTATAGGCTATGAAACATACTTGTTGAGCATTATTATTATTATTAATCCTTTGTTTTCCTAATGGAACATCTCCATTTCATCATGTTCTCTTGCAGTCCTCTTTAGTTGGCTCCGCGACAGACCATAAGCTTTCATCTCCTCACACGATCTCCTTCATGTCACCCTCGAAACTAACACCCAACTTGCCGTTTCCCATTTGGTCTCCATTCGAGGTTCTGGCGTATGATGTCACTGAGTGGTTTCCTCTGTGTATGTTCAGTCCATCTGCATTTCCTTCAGCATAACTATTGGTTAGTAGATTCTTGATTGGTTCGTCTCCCCAGTGTTCTTTGTCGCTAACCCTTTCAAACCATCTGATTTTCAGTGTGGGGCCAACAATGGCAGTTGTTGATAAAATTCTACAACCTGTGGGAAATGCTTTTTGCGATGCTTACGCCAAGTCTCTGAACTACACACAAGCACTGGCTGACTTGAAATCAACGTTGAAAATCCGCATATTGTTCCTTATGTTGAGTGCAGCAGATTTCCACACTAATTTCAGATTAATGTACAGGTCTCTTTTGCTTTTTCTATCCTGCCTTTGATATCCTCATCCGTGCCCCGACTGCCTGTATTTGAAACAATACTGCTTAGATAAGTGAAAAAAGTGACTTCCTTCAAATGCCTCCTGTTGATGGTGATTTGTGCCTGTTGTTGTTGTTGGTTGGTTGTCTTCACCACCCCTGTCTTCTCTATGTTCACTTGAAATCCTCTCTTCACTGCTTTTTCTGTCAACTTGCTGGTTTTCGCCTGTAGATCTTTGAGTTTCTGGGACATTGGACATAAATCATTCGTGAAGTTCAGATCATCTAGAGTCTTCTTGTCCATCCAACGTATTGGTGTCCCCTCGCACCCCACGGTCTGATGCATGATCCAGTTCACTGGAATCATGAATATCGGTGATAATAGTGTAACGATAGAAGACAAAGGCCAGGCAACAGATCGTTTATTGAGAAAATCAAGATATATTTATAGACTTTTATGTGCATTATTATTAGCGTTATTGTTAGCAGAGAAGTGACGCCTTCTGATTGGTTGTTTTCTTGCTGAAGGTTATTCTGATATCTCTTTTTGGCCGTTTCTCAGAAAATCAAGTCATGTTTCTGTGAATCATATTTCCACACTTTAAATCCGCTATGATAAGCTGGTAATTTTCTCAAGGTTAAGCTTTGTCATTGTTTTTGTCATGACATGAACATTGACGTAAATTGTTGCCTACAATTTCGGCTTGCAGACAGCTCTCACCACAGTAGGAGATTTGATAATAATATCCAGATGGAATAGGGTTCGGACCTGTGACCCACAGACCGAGAGTTGGGCGCTCAAGCTAGTGAGTCACATCTTCCTTACATAGTATCCGATTCTACTGTCTGGTAGATAAAACTGTACTAAAGTAATGAGTAGTATATTACGTTAGTAGTTCATTTCCTTTTTTAATAAAATTCTTAAAGTACTTTTGAAGAGAAAATAGCTATTGTTGTGGTGAGAGATGGCCAAAGTTGGTAGACAGTAATTGACGTCAATGTTTATGTCCCCAATATTGGTGGTGAGAAAATGAGAACAAAGGCTTTCCGTAGGTGGATACAGTTAGTATATGGATGATCTGACACAGCCACAAAGAGATGCAAGGTTAACTTTCTGTAAGAAACAACCAACCAAAATACTGTATTTTCTACTAACAATAATCTACAATAATGTACATTAAAATCTATAAATATGTGTTGATTTTCCTTAATAAACGATCTGTTGCCTGGCTCTTGTCTTCTGTTGTTACATTGTTACTACTATTATTATTTTTCTTATAGACTGTTTATGCATCTCCCAGTCATAGAAAAATGGATGTGAAAGGCAGTTACGAACAGATAGTCTATCCTGATTTATATTTTACAATTGATAATTATGAAGAGGTAAGCTATTTTCGCTAAATATCTGTTAATCGTCTCACCTACTTATCTCAACTTTCTGTAACTCCGATACAAACTGTGTAACACATTAGCCACTTTTTGGTGTGGTTGTGTTCTCTGAGCTGGATGGTTTGGTTGCGAAGCTTTCATTGCTCTACTGAGCAACATCTTCAGCGCATACTTCGATGTGAAGTGAGCTTTTAGAATTCTCTATGAGTTTATTAGTCATCTCTTCTAGTAACCTTGAACGTGATTGGTTGTTTTCGTGTGACATTTCATCCCCTAGTTTGCTTGTCTCGGTGCTGGCTGCTTCTTTGGTCTGAATGTCGTTAGTCATTCCTTCTGCTAACCTTGGACGTGATTGGTTGTTTTTGTGTGACTTCTCACTTTCTAGTTCACTTGTTTTGGTGTTGACTGTTTCCTTGACCTGAAGTTTGACTTTGTTTTTGTGTGAATTTCTTCGTATGGATTGGTATATTTTGTCAATCTCTATGTATCTATTGATTGCTGATTCATTTGAATACCAGGCCTCTAGGAATTCTCTGGCATTTTTGCAGTTCCCTTTGTCTAAGATTTGAACATTGTCTCAGTCGAATTGGTGCCCGTGGTTGTCTGCATGTAGTGATATGAGGGAGTGAATGTCGTGTCTTTTGACAGCTAGTTTGTGTTCGTGAATGCGAAGACGAAGAGGGCGTCCACTTTGACCAATGTAATGTTTGTCGCAGTCGTTGCAACTTATCTTGTAGATAACGTTAGTTTTGTCTTCTTTTGCCGTTGAGTCCTTTGGTTTACATAGAACTGAGTGTAGTGACTTTGTTGGTTTATGAGCGACATCGATTCCAAAAGGTTTGAATAATCTTGCAGTGATTTCGGAGATATCTTTTATATATGGTAAGACGACTTTCTTTGTGTTTTCGCTAGTGGCCTTTGATTTGGTTGGTTGAGCTGGGGGTAGATGTCTTTTGATGAAGTTTCGTGGGTATCCATTTCTTTGGAAGACGTCCATAAGGTGATTTTCTTCAATTTTCCTCAAGGCGGGAGTGCTGCAATGAGTCCTGGCTCTCTTGAACAATGTACGTATGCAGCTAATTTTGTGTGATGTTGGGTTGTTACTGTTGTAATTGAGTATTTGATCTGTGTGCGTTGGTTTTCTGTATACTTGGGTTTCTAATTTTCCTGTAGTTGTTCGTTTGATTAAGACGTCTAAGAATGGGATTTTGTTTTCATATTCTTCTCTTGTGAATTTGATGTCGTTGAAGGTGTTGTTTATTATGTTGTGGGTATTGTCTAAGTTTTCTCTTTTGATTATCACGAATGTATCATCTATGTAGCGTATCCAAATTTTTGGTTTGATCTTTGGCAGAATTATGTTTTCCAGTCTTTGCATGACGGCTTTCGCAATCAATCCTGATATGGGTGATCCCATAGGTGTCCCTTGAATTTGTTCATACATTTGGCCGTTGAATTGGAAATAAGTTGTGAGACACAGGTTTATGCATTCCATCCAACTTGAATGCTGCATTTTTGATTGTTGTATGTGTTCGTCGTTGTTGAGTAGTTGTTCCATGGTTTCTTTTGCTAGTTTTAGTCCAATCGAAGTATATAATGCCGTGAAGTCGAAGGATACCATTATTTCTTGGCTGTCTATTTCAATGCCTTTGATTTTCTCTAAAAATTGGGTCGCAGATTGGATGGAGTGATCACATGATTTCGTCAAGTGTTTCAGTCTTCTGTATAGTTCTTTGGATAAATTGTATGTTGGGGTTCCTGGGAGTGATACGATTGGTCGTAGAGGTATATTTGGCTTGTGTATTTTTGGTCTGCCGTAGATTCGAGGTATGACAGGTCCATTGGATTTCATTCGCCATTGATCTCCTTTTGTGATCTGACCCGTTTTGGTGAGTTTGTTTAGGGTTCTTTGGATGCGGTTGTCTAGTGTTTCGATGGGGTTTGTTGTTAGTTGTTGGTATATTCGCAACCAAACCATCCAGCTCAGAGAACACAACCACACCAAAATCATCCACCTAAGCTACAAATCTTCTCTATTATATTTAGACCAACAGGATCTCTAATACCAAGACTGTATGATCTACCAAAGCTACACAAAGCCAGCCTATCATTACGCCCTATCTTAGACATGTTCGGATCCCCAGACCATCCAATAGCTGTGTGGTTAGCTGAAATCCTCGAACTCGTCAGGGGAAAACTATCTGTTCATTCCCTTTGTGATACAATTAATTAAAGTCATCACCTATGTTCTTCCTGGTTATGATAGACTACATTATACGAAAAATGTCAGGAGTGACAATACAGACACAGACTGCATAAACCTGTGTCTCACAACTTATTTCCAATTCAACGGCCAAATGTATGAACAAATTCAAGGGACACCTATGGGATCACCCATATCAGGATTGATTGCGAAAGCCGTCATGCAAAGACTGGAAAACATAATTCTGCCAAAGATCAAACCAAAAATTTGGATACGCTACATAGATGATACATTCGTGATAATCAAAAGAGAAAACTTAGACAATACCCACAACATAATAAACAACACCTTCAACGACATCAAATTCACAAGAGAAGAATATGAAAACAAAATCCCATTCTTAGACGTCTTAATCAAACGAACAACTACAGGAAAATTAGAAACCCAAGTATACAGAAAACCAACGCACACAGATCAAATACTCAATTACAACAGTAACAACCCAACATCACACAAAATTAGCTGCATACGTACATTGTTCAAGAGAGCCAGGACTCATTGCAGCACTCCCGCCTTGAGGAAAATTGAAGAAAATCACCTTATGGACGTCTTCCAAAGAAATGGATACCCACGAAACTTCATCAAAAGACATCTACCCCCAGCTCAACCAACCAAATCAAAGGCCACTAGCGAAAACACAAAGAAAGTCGTCTTACCATATATAAAAGATATCTCCGAAATCACTGCAAGATTATTCAAACCTTTTGGAATCGATGTCGCTCATAAACCAACAAAGTCACTACACTCAGTTCTATGTAAACCAAAGGACTCAACGGCAAAAGAAGACAAAACTAACGTTATCTACAAGATAAGTTGCAACGACTGCGACAAACATTACATTGGTCAAAGTGGACGCCCTCTTCGTCTTCGCATTCACGAACACAAACTAGCTGTCAAAAGACACGACATTCACTCCCTCATATCACTACATGCAGACAACCACGGGCACCAATTCGACTGAGACAATGTTCAAATCTTAGACAAAGGGAACTGCAAAAATGCCAGAGAATTCCTAGAGGCCTGGTATTCAAATGAATCAGCAATCAATAGATACATAGAGATTGACAAAATATACCAATCCATACGAAGAAATTCACACAAAAACAAAGTCAAACTTCAGGTCAAGGAAACAGTCAACACCAAAACAAGTGAACTAGAAAGTGAGAAGTCACACAAAAACAACCAATCACGTCCAAGGTTAGCAGAAGGAATGACTAACGACATTCAGACCAAAGAAGCAGCCAGCACCGAGACAAGCAAACTAGGGGATGAAATGTCACACGAAAACAACCAATCACGTTCAAGGTTACTAGAAGAGATGACTAATAAACTCATAGAGAATTCTAAAAGCTCACTTCACATCGAAGTATGCGCTGAAGATGTTGCTCAGTAGAGCAATGAAAGCTTCGCAACCAAACCATCCAGCTCAGAGAACACAACCACACCAAAATCATCCACCTGAGCTACAAATCTTCTCTATTATATCTACATTAGCCACTAGATACATTTGTCACTCAGTTTGAATAACGACGACTTAATAATGAAACAGAAAGACCACAGAGGATGAATGCGTCTGTGCTGTTTGATAACTATTTTGAGTCATGTATCCAACAGTCTCCAGCCACTGCTTCTTAGAGCGTCGAAGCCTCCAGCCAAACAATCTTCATCTCCCTGTTGGGTTCAAACTAAGAGTCAAAGGTTTAATGAATTAATACCCATGTTTTCGTCTAACTGCTGCACTTAATTCTTTCGCAACCAAATCGCAGTTTCTTAATAATAATATACAATATTGATTCACGGAAAAGCACCTTAAGAAATTAGAACACAGTATCTTGGTGGAACAGGGAATGTGTATTAATATGATATGAGTTTTCAAAGGAAAACAAGCAAAAGTAGATTTTGTTGATAACTCGCCTTCTGATATTTACTATTGTAGCATGTACTACTGACAAGATTTGTCAGTAGTATCTAAAGAAACGTTCTTCGGCACAAATACATCAAATAGTGGAGAGATGAATTTGCCGTCAAACAGAAAAAATGAACTAATATTGTAACGAAACATTGAAGATACGAGAAGAAGACAAAGAGATACAATAAGAAGGAAGGGTAGAGTGGTAGCACAACACCGAAAATCTATGCAAATGACGATTTTAATGTAAGGTATACATAATTTCTGCATATGTGTATATCAAACTGCAAATAAACATTCTGTGACCAACCACTCTTGTGTTCTACCGTTACACTATTTATTCACGTATTTATTTGAATACAGATGTAGTAAGATGTGGGCATGTAGAGATGCGCCGTACAATAACGTTAAGACACGATATGTTGAAAAGAAGTTGGGTGATTGAGAGGAACAGGGTCATGAAAGCAGACAAGCATACGTGCTTATGAAAAGCATTTAAGAGACATCCACCATTTCAGTGTTACTTTCAAAAAGAGAGGAAAAGAGGAAATCCGTAGCATGTTCGCCACTGATTACCATTCCCTGTCTAGAGTCTCTCGAATCCCGACCAGGAAGTTATCATGCGCCTACAGATGCTAATCTGCTAACACAACTATCCTTCATTCTATGGTACCACGTCATTATGATTTGACCAGTTGTCCGCTTTTTCTGCCTACTCCCTATACGGGTGAAACAGTTATTCGTTTGTTTAAAATCTGAATTTCTTTCCGCACGTTTGACGAAGGTGACTTCGAGATGTATTCGAGAAATGTAAAAACTGTGGTCTAACTGTAGATTATAGTGTTTTACAGTTCCTACACTAGTTGACTTATTCCAGATCCCATGATCACGACGGAATAGAATCTCGGTGGTCAGACGAAAATATGACACCAATTTATAAAGTGATTGACTGTTGATTCAAGCTATATGGAAAGGTGTAAATTCCCTGGCTGGAAGTCTTTTAGATACTACGAATCAACAGTCGGAGGCTGTTGGTACAGTTGTACTCACTCACTCTCACTGTCCAGATTCTAGGAAGCTTCGCTAATCTTTGTGGAATAATTCTTTTCAACGAATCCATGTTTGTATGCTGAGGTAACATTTCCATATCTATTTTCCTATTTGATGTGCTCTTGCGAAATGTGGCAACTTGAAATAATGCACTTCTACGCCGACCCATCAAATATGTCGTGCATAATGTATATACGACAGTATTTTTTGTGACAAATGAACAGTATTTAGAGAAAGATTAAAAACTGAACAATCCTGTATGTGTGTTTTGTCCTATTTCAGTACTCTTCAGGAGTGCAAGCATAAAATCCCACTTAGGACCATTGTGCTTCATGCAAAAGATGTTATCATAGAAATCCAATGGCTCATGCTTTAAAAATTCTCCTGACTCTTGAAATTGTATAATCTGAGGCCGATTCTTCACGGAATTGTTCGCTCGAATTGCTAAAGTATTCTAGACAAGTATTAAACATCTCTCAGGAAGTATTTCACTTTGAGTTTTGATGATGTTAGTTGATGAAATAACCTGTTAAGCTGACAAGACCGTTAAATGATATCACGCATCAAGTCCTCGAGTGGAACCTGAATGGGAAACATTGAATTCGGCGGTGTCCGATGGTAACATAGAGGGGATTGTGTGAGAAGTAAATGAAAATTTGATGGGTAGTCATGAGGCCAGCTAATAAAAGAAGACTACAGAGAAGAGAGTGTGGAATGTTGATGTACAGCTAAAGCCATATGTCACACTAGGAACTCAAGAGAATAGAATTCATAGAATTCACTAATTGCTAATTCGAATCCTTCTTATCCGTGGACTAAAATTCGATTGATTGGAAGGCAGATTTCGTAACGAACTGATATCAGTAAGTGAACATCTATGAATAAGGGAGTAATGAACGATTGTTTCAACCTGTACTCTGAGACTCGTTAGCTATGCGCACCCATAACTCAATTAAAAGGCGAGCGAAGTGTTTGTGTGGAAACATACCCATCTCGTAACATGTAAAGGTACTATTTTCGACTTCTGGTGGAGTTGTAGTGCATACTACTGAAACAGCTATCAAGTCCTCCTCTGAGTTAACAATGGTTTTCCAGTTGTCGCCGATTCGTGATAACGCTTACCTCAAAACTACAACTATTCTCAATCTTGGTGTTACCTAACATTTTTATGTAGTTCTACTGCTCATAAATTTTTAAAAATTTTGATTACCCCTTTGTAACCTGATCGATAGCCTCTATCTCAATGTGGTAGTTGGGCTTGCGTATCTCAATGACTCAATGAGCCACACTGGCTGAAATTAATGTTTCTGCAGATCCTACCACTCCAAAAAGGCTGCTGGATAGCGGTTACACCAAAAGCAGTAACTGCCATAGTGTCAGTTGTTTACATTATACTGGGAGTCTGTGGGAGAAATCTTACTGCTGGGAAATAGGGAAGTAACAGCAGCAACTTGTCTTCCTCAGATGACCGGCTATGCTGCATCCTCACCTCTGAAGAGGAGGAGGAGGAGGAGAAAGGATTAGAAGAGGTCGACCCCGAAAATTGTGCATCTTGACTTGCCTTACGGTGGTCCGTAGCCGGTGATAATACAGATGCAATTCTAAAAACCACTTCATCAAACAGGCCGTGTTTAACTGACCTCAAGCAGTTGTCTCCTTGACTCCGCCGTCATACAACACTAATGCTGCTTTTATTTCATGCACCCCAAATAAAATCCATATTGTGGATGGGTAGCCGAGAAGTAATAACGTCCCGCACACTACTATGAGATCACAAAGCTTTCCTGATCTCCACCCACGCTTATTTAAACGATGTGGACAACATAATACGTTGAATCTGTTCAAAAAGATTTAAACTACCCTAAATTTTTCTAACAGATAAGTGAAACCTAAGTTGTGCTTTCTCTGGTAGCTAAACACTCTAGTTTATAATTGCGTTTTGTTAAATTAAATAAGGTTTTCTATGAATTATTGTTTTCCTTTGCACTTTTGTTTTTTTTTAAATAGGCATTTTCAGATTGTGTTCTACGTGATAGTGAATGTCTCAATGTTGAGTTAACTGCATATGATCGCGCTGGACAAGTTTATGGAGTTTGTTTTCTCGGCACTATATCGTATAGTACATTAAAACAATTTTATGATTCATGTGTAAGCTAGCTTGTTTTATTCTTGATTTACTTCTACGTATATACAAATATGCATATTGACAAGCTTGAATTTATATTTGAATATAACCCAATGTGAAGAAGACAAGACTGAGGAGACTGAAAGGATTGTTTATTTGGTGAAACGTATGGTACATAGCTAAATTTGGAATACCATATTCTAAACCGGCCATTTGCACATCTTCACCACATCCTTGACGAATTGGTCGAATATCGTCTCATTCGATAGCTTCTTGGATTCTGCATCATATGGCAACATTCTTCTCATGGTTCTCTTCTTTGATTGCTCTTTTCGGTGTGCCAAACATGTTGTTACTTCGTTCCTGATATACTACTTATATCGGATTATAAGTAGCACTCACCACACCTATATGAAATCGCACTGATAATAATGTCCAGTGTGATAGTGAAACGTTTGCTAAACAAATTTTGCAATGGTTTGATTTCCTTCAGATGGCATTGCAATAGGATCATCACTGGATCCACTGCTGACTGACTGACTGCTTTATGGCAAAGCTTGTAAACTCTCAACTTCGTTCAACCGTCGGTAGCTTTGATATTTAAAGAAGATACGAAGACTACACTTTCGTTATCTGCAATAAGAACGTAATATTTGACGATATCTTGATTGCATTCAACAACTGTCATCCTTCTTTGCAATTTACCATAGAAAAGGAGTCTTAACTAAGGATTTCGTTTCTTGATATTTTCCTCAGTAGACATAATGACGGATCTCTCAAAAGATCCATCCACCGGAAACATACATCGAATGAACAACTAACAAATTTTTGTAGTTGGGTGTCTATTTCCAGGAAAAGAAACTTGATTCATTCACTCTGCCTTAGGATAAGAATCAGAATCAGAACTATCATTCCTAAAACCCACGGTAGCAGGAAACGGTTAGCAGAACTGCTTTATTGCCAAAAAACCACGAAAGATAAATAGTCTAAACTGGTGGCTGACTCAGTCCCAAAGAAAACCATCTTCATGGACTTGGAATTCAAAGTTGATCAAACTTAAGATATGCCGAAAGATTGTCTCTAAATTAGTCATTAAGACGTTCTTTGCTGCCACAGCATAGCTTTAAAGAGGCAGCAAGAGTTCAGTCAGAAGTGTTATAATTGAACACCACGTCAGTGACACATGTGACAGCACTTCAACTGACTTATCATTTAGAGTTATTTATAAAATAAACAAACCGAAAGTTCGTTCATTCCTCGCATCTACCATGGGCTTAGTTTTGTTTATTTTATTTTCCTGTTTTAACTGTCTCCTGTAGTTGTTTTTTTCCTCTTCTTCTTTTCCCATCTCTTTGCATTCTTAGTGGAACATGGGGCTTCAAGCATTGTTATTTAAATTCCCAGTAGTAGTAATAGTAGTATTTATTTTCTTTATGGGAGTGCGGTTACTAACCTCGCACCCAACCTTCCTTCTCTACCGGATTCGCTGTTGGTTAAACGATGTTTAGAAGTGCGTCGACCGGTCAGGAGTCGAACCTGGGACCACTTGTGACGTGGTTGGCTAGCCTCCTGCTATTGAACTAGTGAAACACTTTTCTTATTATCGGTTACAAATTATTATTATTGTTTCAGTAAATTTAGAAGACAAACACCTGCTCAGGAAAGATTTCAATGATAGGAGAGGTTATATGCACATTAAAACTCTGTTTCGCAGTTGCTTTATTGCACATATCCATTAATTGTAGCGTCGTAGGCTGTTGCTATGGTAATTTAGTGACAAGTTATATTTTTATATCCTTAAAAAAAAAGTAAACTGACAATGTCAAAACTAACCATTTTTTCTTCATTATCTAATATTAAGTTCTTATGAACGAAAACATAGATTAGATAATTTAAAATTAGATAATGAATAAAAAATGGTTAGTTTCCACATTGCCAGTTTATATACATGTATACCAATAAATATGGCTATAGAGGTAGTCAGAAACGAACTCATTTCTGACCAAGACCTCGAACTTAGGACGAAAGTGCCACTTGAGGACATAATGCTGGAAGTGCAGCTATGCCTGATTTACACAGTATTTAAATTCCAGGGGAAAATATATAAACAAATTGAGGGAGTTGCCATGGGGTCATTAATATCCCTGCTTGTGGTAGATATATTCATGGATAGGTGAGAAAACTTAGCCCCACCCCAAAAATATGGTGAAGGTATGTAGATAACACATTCACTGTACTTTGAACACAGGATATAGATAGATTTTTCGAACAAATCAACTAAAAGGTGGAGGCAATTCAATTCACTTATGAATTGGAAAGTCAGGAAGGGGAGCTTCCAATGTTAGATTGCAGCGAAAAAAGGAGAGAAAGTGGGAAGTTAAGCACTATTGTTTATAAAAAACCCACACATTTAAATACATATTTGGATTTCCGATCATCCCATCCTATGTCAGTGAAAATAGGATTGGTGAAATGTTCAAGTAATAGAGCACAAAAACCAAGTAGCACCAAGGAAAATCTAAGACAGGAAGTGATGCATATAAGAGAAGCTTTGAAACTTAATAATCACCCTGATAAATTAGTCAGAAAGTATGTAGGGGAATGTAAAAATAAAATAAGTAATGATAGTAGTGATAGTGATAATAATAATAGTAATATATCAATGACCACCTGCATGTCAAACATGCGCAGAATAATGACAACACCAACAATAAGGAATCTAAATCATCATTAGTAATTCCATACAAGGAAGGAACCTCGGAAACCTTACGCAGAATCCTTAACAAGGCATTAAAACCCATGAACTCAATTAGAAACATGCTTTGTCGGTTAAAGGATCAATCCTGTGGAGCCTTTAAAACAAAACAATTTAGTTAATGTAATAAGCTCCCTGCTATGATTGTCAGGTCAAATACATAGGTCAAACTAGTAGAACAGCTGCAGTTAGACTAGCCGAGCATAAAAACCTAGCAAAATCTAGATTAGTTGACCCGAATAAGATAAGAAATCTAGAGAATAGTTCAGCTGGCTATAACACTACATGCAATTACATACAACCATAAAATAGGACGACGGGATGAGATAACAGTTTTAAAATCTAATATTGTAAAAGGGTTTAGGCAGAGATTGATAACGGAATCTTTTTTCATCGAACCAACTGAGAGAATACGTGTAATAGGAATGATTCAACACCTGTCCACCCAGATATCTGGAAAATTCTACTACCCCAATGACGACAAATAGGAGAGAACAAAGAAAACTATAAAACTCAAGTTTCGAAGTCGTGTGATTATAATTGGCGATACGATTATGAACAGTAATAAGTTTTGTTTGAAACGTCATCCAGTAAATAATACTGTTTCCCTCACTCTGTGATACATCTAATAAACAAGCTAATAATGATTAACTTACTATCACAGTGCCCAATTTTTACGCATGTATTAAGAAAAAGATATGCTATGCAACCGCCCCTCTGTTTACTGTCTCTCTCCCTTTCTTTTCTTCAATAGAACCCTCGTTCAAATTGTCACTTTAGTAATCATTTTAATCAACGAAATAATCGAATGACAAAAAGTTCCTATTCATATTCATCTTCAGTGAATAATAACAACAACAATGGCGATAATCGGTCAGTTCAATTTATGCGAGTTATTGGACCACAAGCGAAAGGATTAGCTGAAATAGCCATTAAGCCAGTGAAAAGTGATTACATCATTGAACAACAGCAACAAGGTGGACAAAGGAAATCACTGGATCTAATGCTACCATCATCAACATCATCATCGTCAAAATCAAATAGACATCATCATCATCAACATCAGCATTCTGATTTTATTATGAAATGCTGCCATCCTGTTTGTTTATCTCAATCCGATATTGACGTTAACTCCAATGATAATTTAACATTGAAAGATATGAATATCAATATGGTAATGAATGAGACATATCATTCGGAAATAGTTACCAAACAACCATTTATAGTGAGTAGTAGTACTATTTTTATTGAAAATAATAGAAATTTTGACACATATGTATTCATTTTCAAGTATTGGTTTTTGTAGGGACTTGAGACCACTAGGGTACGGCAGGTTGAAAGTGAGGCAGTAATTCATCGAAGAAGATATTGCGAAGTGGTGGCGCTATGTCGTGAATTGGCTGGCAGAAGTTAGAATTCATAAACTGGCTGGCCATTGGATCGGATCCTAGTGGCTTATTGGTATACGAGCTGGCTCGCCTTGTAACCAGTAGGCCCTGGTTTCGAATCCTTGCGGTGATGCGTACTGATGAAGAGTCAGAAAAGAGGACGAAACAGCTGTCCAGTACTCCTGTAGGTATTGATATAAGTATAAAACTTGGGCACTGTGGTAGAGTATAACTCCATAATGGATAAGATTTTATTTTAATAAATTATGGAGTTACTCCTGTAGGTTTTCCAATGGTTCTCTAACTGATGTCAGCACATGATAAAATCCTCCAAGATATGTATTAGATTCTTTGACTGGACACTAGTAAACTAGTGTGATGTGTCTAATCCTTTCTTTAGTGCAGACTGAATTCTATCAGTTCGGTTTGCAATGTGGTCGTCAGCAAGGCGTATCTGCAACCTTCGAGGAACTCATGTCCCTTCTGAGATTCGAAGCCGTGTCATTCAGTGCTGCATTCAGAGATGTTACCACTGAGCTATTCGGCCTCGCGATGACGAGCGTCAACTGACACAAAGCCTAGGTCCAAGGCTTCCTGCCGATTGCCAACAACCATCTAATATGTATTAGATTATATGATTTGTGTGGTTTTTGTATTAATTTCAACTGTTAGATTTTCGTCACACGAACTAACATCAGTTAAAGAGATCGTTGAAAACCAGCTGGGAGCACTGGAGAGCTGTTTCGTCCTACTCTGGGACTTTTCATTTAGGTCCACCATGTCAAGGTGGTGTCAAACAAACTACAGACCTTCATTAACAGCTGTCTTCGCTCAATACTCAAGATCAGATGGCCAGAAAAGATCAGCAACAAAGATCTCTGGGAGCGAACCAACCAGGAACCGATTGTGAAACAAATATGTAGGAAGAAATGGAGATGGATTGGCTATACTCTGAGGAAACCATCAAGTGACATCACTAGACAAGCCATTGCTCGAGTGGAACCCGAAAGGGAAACGGCGAGTTGGTCATCCAAGGGTGACTTGGAGGAGGTCATGTGAAGAGGAGATGAAGACGTGTGGGCAGACTTGGAGCCAGATGAAGACTCTAGCAGAGAACCAAATGCAATGGAGACGTGCGGCTGAAGCCCTATGTTCCTCTAGGAATTAAAGGAAACAATAATAATAATGTCAAGGTGAAGTGGACGCCCACCGAAGTCATTGATGGGGGCAACAATGTATCACAACTTGACAAAAGAGTTATTGAATGCCAGCCCAACTGGCTGAATAGTCAACGAGCTTGTTTTCGTAACCTGAAGGTCTGGAGTTCGACGCTTGCCAAGGTCGTAGGTGCTTAGTGCTGAGTAGTCCCAAAATAGGACGAGATAGATATCCAGTGCTCCCTGGTTTCTAACATCCTCTCTAACCGATGTTGGTTTGTGACGAAAATCGAACAGTTGAAACATATGTATTATTTCAAATAAATTTTTCCATGTATTGCTTTTCTTATATTATTGATAACCAAAGCCTCATTTCCCAACCTTGACGTGATGGTTGTGCTTGCATATCGCAATGACCCAGTGAGCTACACTAGCTAGAATGAATGTTCCTGTAGGTCCTACCACGTCAGAAAGACTGTTTTTGGGTAGCGGTTAAACTAAGAGCAGTTATCGTCATAATTTTGGGTCTGTGGGGAATTCTTACTACTTGCGAATAAGGATGTAACAGCGGTCTGGCCGGCTGTGTTCTTCTTCTCTGGTTAAGTGGCATAATATGATAAATAAATTGAGACTAGGCGTAGAGTCTTAGGTAAGGAAAGGAAGTCAATCGTTGAGATTGTGAAGTGACACTGATTGAGTTGGCTAGGACACATTAGCTGATATAGGGTTTAGGTGGTCAAACGAAAACCTGGCATCGATCCATGAAATCTCTGACTATTCGTTTGAGCCAGCCATATAGGGAGGGAGGTGTAGACTGCCTGGTTGGAGTCCTTAGAGTGCTGACAACCTCTTAATAGATACTATTAGTAATATGTCTCAAAATTGTTGTCAATATCACAGATGCATTCACTTTATGTAATCTCCTAGATCCATTAAACCCTATTGTTTTTCCATGTTACTGTTCTTTCTCATTCACATTCCTGCGTATTATCGTTCTTTTGGACCTCTTCTCTCTGTTTTGTCTTCCTTTGTGTCATAAATAGGGTGTAGCAACTGGAACTGCCGCATTTCTGGGCAAAGTTCTATCTTGAAACCAGCCAGTCAGTAGTTTTACAGCTCTTACACTTTGCCAGGAGACAGGGTATTTCTGGCAATGTACTTGTTTATTATTCATCATGTTAAAGCCCAATAGTGCCACATGTAGGCGTGCGCATTTTTATGTATACCATACAGCTATTCATTCTACTTAGTCGATCAACAAGCTTCAATTACACGAGGCCTGTACGAAGTGCGTTTTTTGCCTAATTAGAATGAAGAAATGACCCAATGGCTTAAACACTCGACTTTTAATCAATAAGTGGTAAAATGTTTGAATCCCGACTCCAAATACTTCAATATTAACACAGTAAGTATGGCTGATAGCCCAGTATTGGGTATCTGAATTCTACTGAGTCAAATGAGTCACGGAATCTAATTTAGTAATGATTTCCTGGAATAGTTTCAATCTTGGTGTCTTTCACAATTCTAAACACACGAATAAGTTGTTCCTGTCAGTTAATACAAAAGAATAACTGCCCTTTACTTATACAGTGAAACTTATTTCTTTATCATGATTAATGAATTTGTCATTCATCACTGAACATGACAATAAGCACAGTGTGACAGATTTTCCCCTTTCTTTGCTTTCCTAATGGAACTTAGGGCTTCAAGCTCTGAAGTTTGAGTAGGGGTACTGTTTTTTTTCCAGAGTAGGGACTGTTAGCATCACTCTCAACCTTCCCCCTTTTCCGCATCTACCACTGGCTGGTAAACTGAGAGGGGTGTGGGAGTGTGTCTGCCGGGAGTCGAACACAGACCTCCAGGGTGGCTGGCAAGTATTCTATGGTGTTGCAGTGTAACAGCTACGTCATACAAATTAATAAGTTCTAGTAATCAAAAGACTTTGGAAATATCACTGCTTTTATTGATACTACAGTACGACTCATTACAATAATTTAATATAACAATATATGTATACTTGTGTCTCTATCAGTATCGCTTTCGATGCTGTCTTTTATGACGTCCGTAATATATCCTTTCACATAATTTTCTGTCAGATTAGCCAAGAGCGATTGGATAATACATGATCTATTGGTTGTTTGTTAGGTTGTTTGTTTTAAGAGGGTTGTATGCTGTGTTCATGCGCCCCGCCGTGACATTATCCCCTCCCCATATATGACCTGGTACGAACGAGGGTGAATAGACTCCGGTCTTCCTCTCGAAATGCTCTCCTGGGGCAATGCGTTGACAGCCTCTGCCAGACAGGTCCCATTCACTGTCTTCACGCCACGGTGGCAGTGCGTCCCACAACAGTTAAAGAGCGAATTCTAACGTATGGTGGCCTTGAATGTCCACCTAAGGGAGCTGAGAAACCCGAATTCCAAATCTGTGGTGTACATATGTCCCAGAATCAAAACGTATCAAATGGCGTATGAACCTGTTTTGGTCACTGAAAATCATGGAAACACAGGTCATGCCGTTGCTTCACTGCCTTATGGATCTGACTCCAAGTCAAAGGCTAGGGTGGTGGGTACTTAAGACAACCACCTGCTTTGGTGTGGAGTTCCGGGTAGTATCCCAGCCCTCGCAAAAATCCTGAGATATCGTGTGATACATCTCTTGTCTCTCATATTGTACTAAGTTTATGTTATAATAATAATAACATGCAAGAGACGCTTAAAAAATAGACTCTATCATGATTCAACACTAGGCAGTGAAAACAAAGTGCCTACAGCTGCCTTGTCCTAGCCTGGACATCTACATTCTTCGATAAATTAAAGTCCATTATCCAGCACCCCTAGTTATTCAATGATTCTAAGAAATCAGCCAATCACCTACGACCTTAATATCTGAATACGTTAAGTAGATGGTTGCAGATATCCAGCATATTTCTATGCTATTGAAGCACATAAAGTGTTACATCACCGTATTTGATACTGAATGGTAATCGGAAACTTTACTGAAGACCGTTTGTTGATTACTCATCAATCCATTCCCCTTAGCTCATGAAAATGAAGACAAGACAGATCGGTCCGTACCAGCGAGAACGATTCGATTTTATCACAAAAAATAGTAAATCATATACAAATATTACGCATCACGGAAAGTTAAGCCGACAAAGAACCAATTATATTGGTTACATAAGGTCGGGCTTCAAGGTTATCCAATAGCACTGTAATAAATATCCTCCTTTGGCCCAATTATTTAACTGGTTCATTCTGGTTTTTTTTTCTATTCCTTCACGTTCCCAGAGGAACATAGAGCTTCAAGCTGGAGGTTTGAAGTTTCTGTAGCAGTGTTTATTTTTACGGGATGGGGTTGCTAGCCTCATGCTCAACCTTTCTTCTTTACCAGCTTTATTTCTGGCTTAGCGAGGTAAAGGAGTGCATCGGCCGGGGATCGAACTGCGAGCGTCCTATCCTCTGTGCCACCGACGCACAAATTCTGGTTTAATTCTGTCTAAGTCCATTTGATCTGGTTTTAGCCTCTTCCTATCATAAAGGATCAGAATTCAAGTATATTTTTGACTTCATATTTGAACATAGCTTAAAGGTAAAATTGATTTCGAAAAAAAAGAAGCAACTGTATTAATCAATTGTCTATACTTCTATATCTCCTGAGGAGGATTTTTGCTTGATGAG